CCAAACCCTAAAAAGTAGATAAACCCAGGTATAGTCAGAATGATTGAAGTGGGCTTAGAAAATGAAGGAGCCACTTAAATCTTAAAGGATACAAGAGAAGACAAGGAGTTAAATAAAAATACGAATATAGAGAGCAATAGAAAACGATTCAACGGAACGGAGAAAAGGTATCCGTACTGAAAGCAACTTGAGTTAAGAGAAAAAACGTGTCCCGTGTAAATCATTGCACGATGTTAATAATTGGACACGAATCGATGTATGTGATAAAACCCACAAAAGCATTTTCCAGGAAAACCTTTAGACTAATCATAACACCCTCAAGTGGAAAACCTTGACATCAGAAACTTAATCGAATTGCAATTAACAGTAGGAAAAAGTCCGAAAAACTTACTGTCTCGCCTCCTGAACATATTGTGCCAAATTTCGTAGGATAAGAGCCGCAGTGACACGCAAATGTTTGGTGACAGGACCCTCTCGTGGAGGGAGCATGTCACGAGGAGGGGCTGCAACAGGTGTACCATTGGGATATCGGCCTCCAGAAACTGCATACTGGGAAAGCCAAAGTTCAGATCTCATCCTGCGTGTCTCCACATCCTGTATGATAGCCCAACCTGAGGGGTCGGGAGGACAATACCTCGGTGGTACAGGAGGAGTTGAGGCTGGTTGTTGGTATGGAGCAGTTCGGTGGGGTATTAATCGACGTCGGGACTCGAGCTCTGCAGTTGAGCAGTGCGAGTCCAGAACATGAGATTGAAGGGAGTAAGGGGCACGAGATATGTTTGCAGTGGAACAGTCACTCCATAGGCAACAGCGACGCTCTATTGGAGTTGAGGGATTTGAGGGAGATTTGGACATATTTTTGGGTGGGAGAAGCGGCTTTAGATGACAGCTATAGGCATGACTATATACCTATTAACAGGAAAGAGGTAGAAAGTCACCTGAAAGAAGACATTCCTAAGCAATAAATTGAGATGAAATAAATGACGAGTCCATCCAGCTTGACTTTGACACGAATATTAAGACATTAGCGCGAAATAAAAATTAATGAAAGGTTATGTATAGCAAGTACCTTGGCCTCAAAATTTGAAGATTCGTGGACCCACATTTCTTCGAAACTTCAAAGTAAACAATCTACACATTAATGCGTTTCTTAGTATGGTTATAAAGCAAGTTTACATAAACAAAGTAAATAATTCAATTGAATAAACTCGGGTCTTGAAATGTCAGAGGTCACTTAACTGACATTTATTGATACATATCCAATTTTATCGCAATCAGAACTATGTTACCTTTCATCTATTTAAGCAAAAGGCTGTCACAACTTTCGAATTTAGCATGTTGGAAGATTTTGAAAATGTAGCTGTAGTATATCCAGCCATGAAGACGGATTCAATGTTGCCGTCAAAAACTACAAACTTATGCAATATTCAGAAATAGACTATCAAATACATTAGAAGTGGGTGGCAAAGGGAGCATAAGAAAGTCACCTGAATACTCAGTAACTGGTAATTTACGATACATAGAATTTGCAAGCCTCATGTGGGAATAAAACAGGACTGATTAACACCCAACATCAAAAATCCTGTCCCATCAAATTACGTCCATTCTACTTAGAGCTATATTTTGATGCCATATGCCTAGCAATTAGACAAGTAGTTGACCATTTCGGCTGAATTTACGTAACAGCAAGAAGAATAGGAAGGCTAGCAAGATTCAAAGAACGTCTGGTAAGATCAATTGAATTGTTAGAAACCCGAATTTCAAGGACCATTTACTATACTAGGCTATAATTTAGCCAAGAAATTAACTAGCAATTAGAATTTAAACATTTTTAATAGTTAAAAAAGGTGACGATAAACGTACCTGTGAGGCCACAGGAAATTGTCTGAAGCATCCATTCCATTCACACACAAACATCAAGGGAGGTGGCGAAGGGGGCTGATTGCGTTGAACTGCCGCTGGTGTTGGAATACTTGGTCGGTGATTAGGATTTGAGTTCACCGTCATCGTTCTTTTACCCTGTTCTTTAGATAACAATGCCGCGGTAGCAACGTTCTGATAAAAATTCTTCAGTCCGCTTTCAGTTGTCATCATTTTTTGCCTTTTTCCTGCAGCCAGTTTTGGTTGATCAAACACCCGATTACGCGCAGCGAAATATCTCGGCCGTTTACGTGTGAAATAGAAACCCACTTTGCGATTGTAGCACAATTGATGGGAGTTGAAAGTGGCCCATTCCATGAGACGAGTCTCAGTCTCTTCCATATCGTCCTTCACTTCATTGTATTCCCTTTTCAGGTTCTTTGGTTTACACACGTGTGAGACTCCGTTAACAAGCTTCTCCTGCAAATTATTCTGTTCTGGACCCTTGTTCTTAATCACTGGTAGTGTTGGAGTAGTGTTATTGGCCTCACCATTCACCATTTTCACAGCAGGAGGGTTGCAAATCACGGCGGGAATAGATTTCCTACCAACTCCAGTGTGGTGGATGGTGGAGGCTCGATTACTGTAACCATTCAGAAGAGGAGATGGAGCAGGGGATTTAGGAGGGACTACCTTGCTTGAACCAGGATTGTTTAGTGCCTCCTCAAGAAGAGATGTGGAAGTAAGTGTAGGTTTCTGTAGAGATGGAGCGGACACCACTTGATTCGGTGGATTATTATACTGGTGATGGTGATTTAAAAGAGAGTTTGGAGGAGGCGTGTTGGGAACTGAAAGAACAACAAATGAGCTTCGGTGAGATAAATTCGAGTAAGCTTATTTGGGTTTCAAGATTGCTGTTGTTAACGCAGAAAATGTATTCATTTTCAATTGAAGTGGCACCACCGCCCAAACATCTTTGAAATATGCAAATTTGAAAGCCCTCTATTATTATCAGAAAAAAAGCAAAATAGAACGTAAAACGCGGGAATACAACGAGATAAAGACAAGAGCTCTGGTTCTCGAGAGCAAATGCCATGACTCTTATCCAGGAACCTTTACAGCTGAGCTCTAAGTGAACGAAAAAGTCAGATACTCGAGTGGTGGTAACCTTAAAAACGCGGAAAAATTGCAAACTTGAGTTATACCAAAATCATTGGCTTCGGGACTCAGATGGTTTAATGTTATATTCCTCTTCCTTTCCTCGATAAAGGCAGTAAAATAGTTAGACAACTTTTCACCAAGTCGAGCTCCTGATATGTGCCAAAATCAACTAGACTTAAAGATCACATTTTAAATAAAATCAGTAAATCCCAGACCAAATATAATAAATTGACAAGATTTAGTGAAACTTGGAACTCGTTATTTTTGAGATATGAAGTTCTATCTCATAGAATTGTTAAATCAAGAATTGCTGGTGGCATGTGAATAGCGACTTCTGGATTTTCGCTACTAAATATACTTAAAGAAATGGATATAAGAAATATGCATCATTGACACGGTATAAATTGAGCCTTACAAAATACAAGGATGGCCGAACAGACATCTATTACAGTGGATTTCTCTACAATCCTTTTTCAAGCAATGCAGCTACACGTCCAGATGGTATTTTTTACCAAATATAAATCGAAATAGATGAGAACGATATCTAAAGTTTAAAAATTTTACCTTTTCAAATAACCTGTCTTCAAAAATATGCAATGCCGCCACATACATATACTATTCCCATTCTTCCTATTGCTGCCAACTTCATCGAATCAATTTGAACAAACAACTTAGTACAAATTCTGGAATCTAAACGGTTAAATAGTAGTACTCACCTCTTCCATTTACAAAAGGTGGTTTACCACCAGGCGAACCTGGACTCCCATTCACTCTAGAGGACTGACGTCTGGGAGGCAGGTCTTTAGGCGGTGGCATGACCAGTCGATCGGTAAGCTCTGACAAACTACTCGGTTTCGGTCTAACATTCGCCACCTGAGGAGGCAGTGGTGATAGTGAAGGAGGAGTAGCCATTCTAGGAGGCAAATTGACTCCAAATCCTGAAGAGATCCTACTGTTACTACTGCTGTTTCCTCCTCCTCCAGGACCCAACAGACTTGCCAGTGATTGTGGTTGAGGTGGGATATGTTGAGGTGTAACTAAACGTGGATTTGGTGATTGTTGTTGTGGACGCTGGGTGGGAAAATGATGAGATGTAGGATAGGGAGAAGAGAATCGAGAAGGAGCAGTATGATGCAGGGGGAGTGAATATCTGGTAGGATACAGTTGTTCAAATTGTGGTTCTTTTACAATTGGAGGAGGGTTAGGATGTCGTGGAACAACTTTGACACGATGTAATGATTCCGGGCCCATATCTTTACCCTCTAAACTGAGCAGAGCAATGAGAGGACGCAAGTGGCTGGAAGCCCGACGTGCAGCAAAGACAGTGGATGGTGAGAGAGGGGAGACTGTGTCATCTGCTGAAGCTAGAGCACCCCAAAGACGAGTACAGGCAATAGCACCCATTCCGGTGATTGTATAAAGAGACTCTAGCACAGCACAAACAAGACCTAAATCGGAAAGGCAAAGGAGCTGAATAAGACGACACCATAAGAAACGTGGGAGACCGGCAAATAAACGCTCAACGTTCACTCCCTCTGGTACGCGCATCAAGTTTGTAAGAAGGCTCAACCCTAAGAATAGAAATAAAACAGTAATACAGGATTCGTAATTACGAAATTAAGACTAACAAATCACAAATCTAGGTACACTAAAACAGTTCTAATATGAAGAGAAAATAGTCAACATATAACGCACAAAGGCAAATAATAGAAAACCAGTCGTGACATAGCTGCAGTGAGAGCAGCTGATCGCATTAAACAAACAGCCAATCCGCCCACGCACAAATGACAACTAAACAGCTGTAGCCAATCCCTATTGAGCCTAAATCTGATTGGCACAAAGGAACAGAAATAAATGAATTGATGATCATTTTTACTCACCAGATAAGAGATCACATCGATCATTAGATTGAATAAGACAACGGACGAGGAATTGCAAACTGAGCAACTCAATTCCTGTAAAGGTATTGACATGCAGCGGTCGAGGTATTTTCGAAAGGAAAGTGACGGATGGAACTAAGGGGTATCGAAGACCTCCAATCAGCTGGAGACCGAGTTGCCTGAGAGCGGAATGACGTGCGAAAGTACAGAGAAAGGCAAATCTCAAGGTAGCGGGACTGGAAGAAAGGAATCGAGCATTGTCACGCCATGGAGATAAGGGTGGCAAACCAGGGTAGAGACTACGACCACGGAAAGGACGACCTCCAATGACACCATTGCAAGTTGCTCCACTGGACATGGAAAAGCGACGATTCCCAACCGAGGCGAAGGACATCACCTATTTAGATAACAGAAGTAAAGAAAGTAGACAAGAATTTTGATAAATACGAGAATAAATCATTCGAGCTGAATGAAGGTAGAGAAAGACTTGAAAAAAAGGACAGCAGGCACATTTTTTGAAATGTACTTTACAATGGGGACCTCCATGCATCCGAGGGAGATATAACAGCTACACAAAAATGAACACCAGAATTTATTAAACTTCATTGAAAATTGTGCATAGTATATGGTTTTCAAGAAATAACTCTGAGAACGACCACTGCTTACTAACTCATAAACACTATTACTTTCTCCTTCAGTAGGATAAAGTTTTTGGGCCATTTACAGCAGTTACGACAGAATAACTTTATGCAAAATTACTGGTTGAATAAAAGGGAAGAAATAATGCTCTACCAAGCAGAGGAAATTCAACATCGGTTTCATATCAAAACAGCGAAAGAACAAGGTTAATCTTCATTCACCAATCGATTGCTTGCCAGGACAAAATCATATTCAGTCAAGATGAAAAAATTAAATCCAAAGTCTTATTTGATCCCCAGCCACCCAAATTCTTTGTGTATAAATAGATTCTTAATGAAATAAATAAATTTCCTATGGTGTGGGAAGTAGACTAGCATTACCTGGCTAAACACTCCTCATTCTCTAAGAGGCTTACAGTGTAAACAGAGAGCTTAAATTCACTTTACAACAGGAGTAAAAAAGGATAAAACCCATTACAAATTTTGGAACCAAATAAGTCGATAAAGTACAGTAATAAAAACGGTAATCCGGGTCTTCTGAAATTCTAGACGCAGCCTTTCTTTCGATGACGGATAAATTAGAAGCGGGAGTCTAAATAGGGAATTACAGAAACTTGCTAAACCTACGCTTTTGTCAAATAGACATTCGGTACATTTCTTCATTCAACAGCATATAAAATTGAACTTTAGTCGAATGCTAGAAGATATTTCAAAACAAGATCCTACGAAGAATAAGGAATCATTCATAATCTCCACTTTTCAGAACCAGTTACCAAATTTACATTTTTCGGAATATTTAACACTACACCATTCTGCCAACCAATGTGTTTTATTGTTTTCTAAGGTTATTTTCTCATTAAAATTTCCGATCATTTTGCTTTGCCTTAAAATTACCGGACAGAAGCAATAAACACATAGACCATAAAGAAACTCAAAACTATTCAACTCATTGTCCGACAAATTTAATGAGCTGCAATAATTGGACGAAAGAAATACTATGGTAAAAAATATATTCAGTTAGAAACGCTGATAAGAAAAAAGAATATCAAAGCTAACCTGATCCAACTCATCATCATCCTCAGCAATTGGGCTAGGGATACCGGTGAGATAGGGACAGGTAACACTATTAACTAGAGTAGCCATGACCAAGAGCACACGTGAGAGGTTGGGACTGGTAGAGAGAAGGTCATCTGTGGAAGCGCTTCCAAAAAGCGTCCGTGTGGGATTGGAGGCGGAGGGAGTAAATAGGTTCTGAGTGATATCGGGGGAGAGAGGAGGTACTACGCGATAACCTGCTGTTTCTGCATCTGTGACTAGTGGTAAGGAATGTTCTGTAAAGAAAATAAATTAACGATAGTAAGTTAGTTCAATAAAATGCCAGGGTTTGACAACAGTTTAACAAGTCAAATAGTAACATAAATTTCCATGTTAATAACTTAAGCAGGTCATTTAAATTAGCCCAAGCAGAAAATCTTGACTGAGACTTAGGTAAATAGGCATATAGGATTTGAATTTTGAGCGTATTTTAATGGACAATATGTATGCTTGTATATAAAAATCTTCAAAGTCCATCTTAAAAAATTACATCATTGCTAAATGAGAAGTGAATATAATAAGAGCTGAACAGTCCAATAGAGCTCGATCAAATTTAGAACCCGTTTGAAATCCAAAGATAGCTGAAGCAGTTTAAAATTTAAACACCTAAGTCCGCTATAAGATTTTCGACTAGAACAGACACGAAAAAATAACTCTACTTTCGTGATTTACTTAGTTACTGCGGCTAAATACCTGACTCAAGCAAAAAAAGCATTTGTTATCATTCATGACTGAGAGGCTGGCTGAAAAATAGCAAACCAGGTCTAATGCTTTTTACTCCGGAGGGCCTATAGTGAACCAGTCCTTCGTTCATTCAATTGGTTGACTAAAAGGTAGGCTCCATATGTCCTTCCATAAAATAATTAATAAACAATCCAACATAGACTCATAAAAAGATTTCTTACATATATTTTATGGTCCTCTCAAAATGAGAATTAAATCAAACAAATATATGCAACCAGATAAAACCGGAGTGAAACAACAATCAGGTAAACTTTTATGAGAATCAGCAGGCTAAATTTGTGACCCCAAATAATTAGAATCATGTCGTTTTCGACCTCATTTAATCGGCCAGTGATAACAATTTAAAAAACAGCCACAATGTCATACAATTCTAACAAATGTAAGAACTTATAATTACAAAACATCAATGAAAGTCCTAAAACTAAATAGCTAACCGCAAGTAATCGGAGCTATTAAGCAATCGCTTGTCCTTATTCACTCATCAAAACTAACCAGTCGGCAGATTGAATTTCCAATCAGCCACACCTCTATTGCATGAGACACGGAGTGAATGATGACTCACATTAAGGAAGGCCAACTAGACACAACATAGTGGGGTCATACGGACGCACGCCATCAGCATATGCGTGCACGTAGGCATTAATGCACGCGGACACATGTCCGCACGATAAAAGCAAGCGTGTACACATGGTAGCTTCCGCACCCTAGAGCAAGCGTGAGAGCGAGAGCGCAAACAGATGACTTCGCGCTTATATATTCAGGCAGAATGCAAATAAGAGCTCACACCAATAGAAATTGCCCCAAGCACCAAGGCGGCCAATTGGACACCGCTGCTGCCTTAAGAGAGTAGTAGATGCGAGTTGAACAAAACATATCTCTCTAAAACTTATTTTTTCTTTTCTTAAATAGAAACGAGAAAAAGAAATGAAATAATACTATAAGACGTTAAGCAGTATTAAATCAAAAAGACGGTAATTGAAAAAGGGAAGCATTCGACTTTTGTAAGATAAAAGCTGTGGAGAAGAAGGGGTTTAGTGACAAAAAAAGCGAGTATAATTTGGAAAATAAATTATTTATGATTGGGCGATAAAGAAAAATTAATAAAAATTAAAAGAGCAAACCTTAATATAATCATTTTGACCTAATGTGGCTGGATTCAAAACACCGTAAAAAAGCTCGATTGAATAAGTACATCCCAGAATATTTCCGCATTGAAAGATCACCTTGCAGTTACAAATAACTAAGGGGAACAAGTTAAACGAACGAAAACTAAGAGTACCGAGGGAGACGTAAAAGGAAAGTGGGGTAAATAAAGATACTGTCATTTCAAAAATTAGGGCCCATAGAATCAATTACAACCACAGGATCGAATCAACTGATAAAAGATACGTTAAAGTGCAACGTAACTTAACATCGGTGTAATAAGGGATCACATCTTTACTGGTGGCTTTGGGCCCAAGAGCATAACAAAAAAACAGCTAGTCATTTTGCGTCAAATGCTTTCGACTAAGTGGGATTTTAGTACTCTTGAATATAAATATTTAAACAATAATTCCCAGGATCAGGAATATCAATAATGACAGCAATTCTTCTTAGTGAAAGAGTATTTCTAACACACCAGTTAATGAAACCAAATATTTTCATAGTGGATAATTGTAAAAATATGACCATACAATAAAAACATTAAAATAGCTATCAAAAATAGCAGCCCAATTTTTCACAAAAGGACAACTCCCAGTTATTCAAGTGCTCCAATTAATAGGCAATATAATAACCATAGTAATTCAATCAATAAGACAGCTTACCGTTATACAGATAAGCATCGTTACTAAGAGAAGAAAGGATCTCTTCATCAACAGTACTCCGCCAAAACTAAACTCCAAAAAATTGAATGGTTATGAAAGCGTAAACATCAATTACTAAGTTAGATATAGATAAACTCAACTCCTTACCGTATCAAAGTCAAGATTACCCTGTTGCTTCCAAATTTCACTCATGTTACGAAGAGAATTGGGACCTAGGGAATAAAGTAGAGATAAAAGTAAAAACTGGAAAACGAAAAGGGAATGTCAAAATAAAGAAATGCTCACCATCCTCATAGATACCAACAGAAGCCAACATGAGTTGAAGGAGATTTCGACAATTGCTAAATCGAATAGGTGTTGCAGGAGTGTCCGCAACCACAGCAGAGAGAAAATAGATAGCGTTGAGTGTTAAATCAATTTCATTAGGCAATCCAGATAGAAGGGATTTCTCCGCAATCTCTAGAGTTGTCACAAAACGCAGATTTAACGTATTTTCAGCATGTGGTCTGGAATACAACTCGTCCAGTTGTACAGCAGGAGGAAGCTGATCAAATGACCGTGAATCCTAATAAATAAAAAGCAAAATGGTACAGGGTTTTAATTTATAAAAAATGCAAGGAAATGAATAAGGAACTCTTCCTACCTGATTCAATCGGTAAAAATCCCTGCTAGAGAACGTAGCACTTGTCGCAGATCGATGCATACTCTGGTGATAAGTAGCCGGTTTGGGATTGTAAATACCAAGCAACTTTTCAACAGATGGAGGAATATATATATCACCGGGATTTTCATTCAATTCGTCTTGCAACTGTGCCCAGAAGCTGGTTGTTTTAAGATGAGGAAACAGTTCATTCTCAAAAGTAAGAAGGAATTGACTGTAAATCCTTCGAAGGGCAATACTGACATTTGTACACGATGAAGGACAGCCAATATCATTTGCAACAATTTCCCAATCATCTTTATCTGTAATCTTTGAGTATCCGCCGTGTGACACAACGGAGGAAAATAATTTGTAAAAATTTATAGATCGTCCATTTATAGTTGGGTGCGATGCGTGAGGTCGTCTAGAATTTTAAATTAACCAAAAGATGTTGTACCTATAGCGGTGATTAAAATTCCAAAATTGATTGTAAAAGGATCTTTCATCTGGCACAGATACAATACCCTTAACGTCTGGAGCACTAGCTATACGCCTCATGTGAGCAGAATACATTGTTCGGTATCTAAAACAATGTAAACAAGAGGCAGTTAGAAATCATAAAATGAATGCTTAAATATAAGGCTAACGAAAAAATCTCAGACCAAGCACATAAAACAGATAAATAACTATAGTTATATTTAGATAAAATATACTGTCCACTCACCAAATATTATGTACTTGCATATAATCAATAGCAACCATGAAAAATTCCAGAAATTTCAAACTGTTCGGTTTTGTCAAAATCTTTGCAAAGTGAAACAATTAATAAATTACATAAAATGAAAACTTGTCACACTCAGGATCATTAAATATATTTTTTCAATAATTCTAAATTAAATTTATTGCAAATTTCGTCAGATAGGACCTTGTTTATTTACTCTTATAAATCGAAATTTTCGCATATTATCACCATTACTTGCCCATGGTGATGAACCAGCAGCTTTATATTTTAAATTTTAGGCAATCACAAAATATTTATTTATATATCGACTTGAATTTATGAATCTGAAATGTAATGAATGAAGGCTTATTTCAGGCACCAATCGATCAATCCTGGCCTAGATTACTGATTAAAGTTTTGAATTCTAAATTAATGTAGATAGTTAACCTATTCATTGATTATACATTCACGAGTTCAGGAAACAAAGTTGCACCAAAATTTGATCGATTATAAGCTTCGTACGTGTCCCTGTTGGTTAAAAATCCGCAATATTTAGCCAAATAGGCATTAAAAACGTATGTTCATCCATTTTGCTTTAAGAATCATCTGAATTAGCAAAAACAGCATAATAAGATTATGTATTGTTCTGGAAACGAAGTTATTGAAATATAATACTGACAACGAAAGTTACTGATCAGTGTGTTCAGTTTGGCGCTAATCAATTCAGCAGAATAAGGAAATAATATTAAAAGGGCTTGTGCTTTTGTTGCTGAGTCTCAGTATTCTAACTATAATTCCACGAACACGAAGAATTAATATCAGAGCTATGAAATTCAAAAAGGCATTATTCGGTGAGTAAGGAAGTCATAACTAAGATCAGTCAAAGTCAGCTTGACTATATTCGATCTATATAAGCTGAATTCTGAAAGTCATAGTTCACTATATGTCGTGGAAGCTGAAGTATCCTGGTAATTAAAACACCAATTTCAGATTATCCGAGCACTACAGAATTATTTGCATAGGATTAACAAGCAACCTAAAATCACATTAAGTCTACCTAGAGAAAACTTTACATTTACCCTCGCTCTTATAAGTCAGCTTTAATTCGAGGAATAGTCCATTAAATTCAGCGTGTTTGCGCCGGAGACCGTTAAACCCGTCACCCCTGACTTCGCTGATTTGCAAGTTATCTTTATTGCCCTTGGTCTCAGTGATATCATATAAAGATCAGCTTAAAGTGCACGAATGCCCACTTACTCATCATTCCGCCATTCGGACGAAACAACTGGTCCATTCTTGGTTTATCTTCCTTAAAACATTTCTGATTACTCATTCAACCCACTAGGCCTTATCTCCTTTATCTGAGTACTGTGTTAGTTTCTACAGTGAAGGCATAGGTGCCAGCATTCAATAACATGCATTTTGTTTCCTATAAGTTCGACCTCTGCTGCACTTCGACAGGCAACATTCTTATTAATGACCATTGGTACAGTCATCTCAAAGTTATATTAACTCAGCTGTGAGTACAAAGTCCTGGCAAGTCCCCAGCAGAAGCTGATATAAAGAGTTAAGATGCTTTTGAAATGAGTAGTTTTAAACTTAACATACACTGTTAGTCAGGGCACCTGAAGGCTCATTGAGCACCAACAATAGCTGAAGTTCCCACCACACCACTTATATTGAAGACACGTGGTTATTCAGTGTACATGAAATAGACACGCATAACATAATTTAAAGAATCTTAAGACCAACCATGCAATGAATTTCTATAACTTGTAATCACAATACAAGAGAATACACAACCGTATCTAAAAACATCGGATAGACATCGATGAAGAATATATATCAATCAACATCCGATAAAGTTATACATACTGGGGATAGAGGGAGGGAAGGAAGCGAAAAAGCAAAGGAGACAAGGCAAAGCAAAATGAGATGTGGTAACAGTAAATGAAGTTGAATTTTACTAATGGGGTCCAGTGGTAGACATTATCATAATCCTTCGAATAAGCAGTGCAATTAGAGCCATTGCAACTGCAAAAATGATCCCTTTGAGGGCTCTTTCTGACCTGATTGATCGATTTGGGTTGACGTCAGTGTCGTCATATCGTGACAAAATGCGCTGTGCTCGCTGTCGATGCCTTTCGGCAGCCTCTCGGAATAATCGACGGGCGATTTCGTTTGAAGCTGCAACATCGAAAGATCCTGTCTCAGAAGTGGTGGGCTTTGCTTCCTCAGGTTCCGCAGGCGGGTTGCCTTGAAGTTCAGTCTCCTCTGGAATAGTAGCTTTTGTACTGGAGCTGTCACGCTGATAGTTTGAAGGCGCTTCAGAAGTGTCATCAGCCTTTTTCTGAACTTCAGAATGTTCCTTTACATGGTCGGCGATTGCATTTTCTTCACTTGGAGCACTTTCTTTAGAAATCAAAGGTTTCTCCCCACCTAAATAAAAAAGTATCACTTTAGACAAGAACAGGAGACACTGAGAATGACAATATAAAAACGGCTTCGTACCTGCAGTCTGATCTGGGGTAGTCACTATAGACTCGTCGGCAGAAACCTGTGAAAAGAAAAGCAAAATATAGTTCCAGGAGCTAGTGTTCCTATTCACTGGTTTGAGACGCATTGGTGGATATTCACTTATGAGAATCATCAATAGCTCTAGTTAAAACCAAAAAAGAACTTTTTTCAATGAGATGGTGTGGTACATAGTAATCTTTTTCCCATTGGTTAGCTATAAACTCAAGGGTCATATGCAACATATTTACGGTCTAGGATGACCAAAACAGTATAGAACAGGAAAATTTCACACTATTAAACACGGATAATCCAATTAGATATAAAAAGAAGTATAAAAAATAACTACCTCTTTATTTGCTTCTAATTTATTTTTGTCAGTTGTCGATTCAACTTTTTTCTCACATTTCTCTTGAATTTCTTCTCCCAGCATCTGAAATGCAAAGCACAGATTGGCAAATCTGACAGTTCAAATTTACTTCTTCAAATATTCAAGAAATGGCACAATTGACTAACGTCTTACTACAATTCATACCACAACAAAAAAATGAGCTTTTTCCTTGTGGGAAAGCAAATGACGTCGGATAAACAGAAGTAAAGGCGGAGGGGAGGAGGGGGAGGGGGGGGGAGAGAATTGAAAAGTGCAACTTCGGATTCGGATTGTGCAATATTCAGTTAAATAGTAGTTCGCTCCTTCGAATCTCCATACTCCAAAATCACAATTCGTTCATTGGATCATTGATCAAATTCCCCCAGTACTTGTCAAGTAAAATAGTCGCAGAGCGATCTTACAAGGTCTTAGCAAGACACAAATCACACTCAAGGTGAATATGAACGAGTATAATTTAAAGGTTTGGGTTACATATACGCAAAGCTATTGAAATGAGCTATAACAGCATCTTAGGATTCGGACAAGACGATATCAACTCATTGCTTATCTCGTTACACCTTGTATTTATGTTTTTTGATAAATCAACTTCAACGCATAAGAACAAAACAATAAGAGCAAATTAGCAATTAGTAAAATTAACTCCTACCCCTGCGTCTTCTGAAACATCCTTGGTTGAGTCCTGTTGTGAAGTTTTAACCCCAGAAGTCTCTGAAATAGGTTTAGACTCGTAATTAGGCACAGTTACTGAGGCATCTTCAATGTGGGGACAAATTCGGTGAAAATCCGATGGCCGAGTTCTTTCTGTTACATCCATGGAACTCAAAGTAAAATCTTCCGTAACATCATCAGTAACTAGACACAGTGGAGGGGTGTTATTTTTATCAGTATCCTGAATAATTTGATCAAAGCTAATTCGGTGGTGAATGTGAGTGAATGTCATTCGAGTGGGACTTAAAGAACTTGACAATCGATTCTGGCAATCATAATTAGTTGACTTTTGTGTAGGTCGTGGACACCTATTTGAGACTTCAGCATTTTCTTTGCACTGCCCACCAAAACTGCTTTTGTTGCTGTTATCAAGCTTAACCTGATCATACGAGGTAAAATTAATTAGAGGGGGAGGACGAAACTTACGAGGAGACACAGAGGATCCGGCGACGTCTGATGAACTCGGATGGATCTAAAACCACAAAATTAAATAAATTAGAGTCTGAGATCCGAAACGAGTGGTGTCAAATTAATACACGACTTACACACTATCTTCACAGGAGTCATTTTCACCTTTATTCACATCTATTTCTGACTGAGAACTATCCACTACATTATTTGCAGCTTCCATGGTACCAAAGTATGCATAGGTAACGACACATGGTTATTGATTAAAATTTGAACAATGCGTGGAACTGCCCTTTACGTATGATTCAGTCTTCGGGTTGGAACCTGTTTATCATTTTTCTCCCCAATAAAAGCACCTACATTTCAGCTATTGGGTTTTCATGAAATAAATAATATTTATGCACAATCTGTCTTCTTTCTGCCTTGTGAATAAAAGCTTTAAGGCCGAGAAAGGCAATGATTGCACCTTTTTACTAGTTGATGATCTAAAAGTCAACGACTCTCCCTATCTGTTTTGAAATGAAATTAAATAGGGAGAAGAAACTAGGCATGGTGGCTTCTCAGATGCATGGATTGGAAACCCTCCTTCTCGTACACCAATTTACTGAAACAGTCTGCCGCATATGACGCTTCTGAAGGGGTAGACAGGGAAGAGAAACCTAATCAATCACACACCATCCAAATATGAAAGAGACTCCACCAGTCATTACAGTGGCTTTAAACAGTCCCCAAATCTCAAGAAATAAAGTTTCCAAGGCAAAAACGCCCTCTCTGCAACTAGAGCCAATCGAAGCTTTCGTTTATGAGACCAGGTCAAGTTTCAAGTTGAACTAGTGCTTGAGATGCTAATCTAGTAGGATATATTTGAGTCTATACACAGAGCGAAGTAGAAATTCCACTTAAATCAATAGAGAAAGAGGGATAACGCAGTATAAAGTAGGATGAAGATAAGAGCGCAAATGTCCATATTTACCCTCTTCCAAACAATCTGGCTAATTATTGTCTTATATGGGAATGATATTGCGCATAGCATTTCTTGCAGTCACACCAAAAAATTAACCGAATATAGAAAAAAAACAGGAGAAAAAACCCATAAAACTTCTACCAACTTAACGGCTAATGCTAAGAATTCCAAAATAAACAAAACGAAAGCATTTTTATTTCGAATTTCATTTAAAAAAAAATAATCCAAAGCCAGATATCCCTCTTCTAATCGCATAAATTAGCTATTTATTTCCCATATATTGCACAGTACTTCATAATATCAAGACATGAAATTTCAAACAGTAAAGATTAAAATGCAGCAGCTCATGAAATAAGGCAAACTTAAAAGCACACTAGTAACTATGTCAGGCAGCTATAAATTAAGAGGCAAGCTAAGTTATCAACTAACCTGCTTAAGCCAATTTTCGAAGCTGAGTGGTGGGTCCTTTTTACTTGTTGCAGAAGATGAATTATCTCCTGAGGAAGGCGCAGCACTGATACTAATCCCATTTGTAACTCCCGTCATTGAGTAAACTGGATAGCACAGCCAATAAATCGGTTTCGGGTTAGCAGTTCCGTTCACCAACGGATTTGGAGGTTGGAGATTGGTGGGTACAACTCCTGGTTGGGACATCATTTGAGGAGCTCCAATTTCTACGTTAGTTCCTTCTGTAGACTCGGAATTCCGGGCTTCCGGTGAAAGAGTTTCAGACTTTGGAGCATTGGGATCCTAAAAAATACAAAAAATTAGTTGGTTTAAATAAATTAGATATTATTAAAAATCCTTGAAGCCTCAAGTTGTTTAGCCTCTCTCTTTTACCTTTAACTCATCTTCCCGAAGCCTTTCTCGTACCCTCTTAATAGAAACGATAACTTCAGCCTTTTGTCTTCTCACTATCTTCTTTTCTGTTTAAGAACGGTGAAACAAGCAGCTTGTGTAGGTACTGCTTAATGAATTTCAATAAGTTAAAAAAATAGTTCTCTCAGCCCTGACATCATGAGATCGTGTAGGATAGTCCCGCCTTCTGGGCTTTGAAAGAAAAAAAATGATCTGAAATAGCGTGACCAATCATCGCAATTAACAACCTGGCCAATGAAACGCGGGACATAGTCGACAACAATTTGCTACAATTCAAGGGACAGATTCGTGAAAGTTGAATATTAGAACGATAACCACCTAGAAGCTCCATAAACTGAATGATGTAGGAACCTTCGACTGTTGGCCATTTATTTTCAATCTTACTGTTAGTAAAACATTGGAGTCAAAAATCAATGACTTTGATCGATTGTGAGTCATCAAATAGGTCGACGTGGCGGGGGACCACATAGAAATTCACTATTCGCGGACTGTTTTTAACTTAAAAACCAATCTGTTGATTTAATTGTAGTCATCAAGAACACGGACTGACGCAGACAGAATCCTATGTAGAAGAGCCTCATTTTTAAGTCGATGAACTCCGATTCAAGAAAGAACAGTGAAATAATAATTAGCGTATCTTCATTGAGGAGGAAAAAAGACTAAATGCCTTAAAACTAATTAAAGGGAGAGGTCTGCAAATGTCATATTTACTTTCCAAAACAGTAGAGATAAAAGAATACTTTAATACACCAGGTGATGATTATTGAGTAAATACTGTCTAAAACTTTTAAGGAGCACAATTAAATGACATTGATGGTAAAACCGGACGAATAGAATATGATTCTAAAAAAATGAGAAAGGGAAATAAATTCCGAGATGTTATAGAGGCAAGAATCTCAAACAGTATTCGAAAGATTTGGAAATTTTAATGAATCCCAAATTCAAGACACTAAATCTATTGAAAAAATCTAGATTAAAAAATATATTGCTTATTAATTATTAAAACATTCGTACCAATAAAATTATTATTTGGATTAGTAAAATGAACTTACAGTAAGTACAAACTGTGAAGCAACTGCTTTTGCCTCCTCTGCTGTTATAGTGGAAGCACTCGTTAGAGGGAGAAGGAGATCTTTAGTTGGACCACAGACATTACATACATAGTTTTTAGAACTAAAATAATTTGTATTATTTATTTTGGTCAATTAAATAAGCATCTTACCTAATAGCGAGTTTCTTGCGTTCCTCAATGGGAACACTCATTGATCCGATTGCGCCAGCACCATCTGTCGGCATAAAACCAATGATCGCTAAAAGAGCCGTCCGAATAGACCAGGAGGGACACCATGTTTCAGGATGATATCCAGAAATACTCAGACAGATTTGGCGATATTGCTCGAACCGACCATTTGGCTATAATTAGTAGGAAACTAAGTCACAAAGAATTAAGCACAACCTACAGTTAGCAACATAATATTCGGTGGTTTCATAGGATATTCAGTAGGCAGGGAAATTTGCCCATGATAGATTCCACCTTCAAATTCACTCCCCTCTGGACCGCGGATAGTAAAATGCCACTCGAAAAGATTGTCCTTAACTAGTTAACATAATTTTAAAAGCATACTTCAAGTGGCTGTGCATAGTAAAGCTCTGTTGGTTTAGAAAGCTCTTGGGCTTCGCGCATCAGCCGCTTAACAGCTTTTAAGATAAGTAATTTTTTATGAAATTTACCGGGACTTTTTAGGTTGTAATTCGTCATCAGTTGGGAATTCAACTCTGTGCGCACTCGTGGATTAATATAAACCGAAAATATATCATTACTATGATGCCTTAACGTTTTGACATATGAACAATTAGAAAAGCGTGCATAGCAGTAAATTTATAATAGATATTAGATATAATTAAAGAAAATTTTTTGTTGTTCAAGGACATATGGACATCTTATATCATAACCAGAAAACAGCAACATAATTGAAGGTTGTTGTCATACAACATTTTCAATTATTTAATGAACCTCATTGTTATGAATTTTTATCCCCATAACGATTACCTGGTAACGCAATGCTTTTGTAAAGAAATTTCAATTTACGAGGAAAATAAACTCAACTTTATTCCATAGAGCGTTGTCACAATTTGCAGTATATTTTCAAAACCAACGTTCATGGAACAAGTGCGTGAGCAATAACAAAAATATCTTCCAATATTTATTATTTTATCATTTTTATTTTTATTTCATTTACTTTTAAAGAAGTTATGCCTCATATTGATTAGGCTCTTTGTCTGTTCTTAAATGTTGGCTTTTAAAAGAAAATCTTCCCAACGTAGAAAAGACCATAAAATATGCTACAAGAACCAACTTTACAACCAGCTATTTAGAATGAAGATGACCTTTGTGGATAACAATTTTAGACACTAAGCTACCCAATACCATACAAAAGAGGTAATAACCGTCATTCTTATCAGCGTGAGAAGACATTCCGTTACTGAACGCTTCGCTGTTATTAAATTTTATAAATTATCAATCACTTTGTTTTCCGGTCTTGAACGTCAACCAAATTAAGACGATGTGCATTCAAATATACCTTTAATGGGCTAATGAAGTGTTTTGAAGTTACAGTAATTCCTGTTCGGGTAAGATAATTAATGGCTTTGTGGTATTTAAATGAGATTTTAAAACCTTTGCAGTTTAAGAAGGATCTTTTTCAGATTCTAAGTAAAATAAAACCGACCTGCGAATTGAAAGATTTCAGAAATACAAGGTGAAAAGACTTGAATTTTAAAATATTTAAAAATCGGTCTAAACTCTTTCGAGGTTTCCCTTTGGAATCATTATTTCAAACCAAGAAGAAACATTGAGAGTGGAAGCGATCAGCACTAAAGATCCTTTTAGATGTTCATTTTTTGCCTCAAACCTTCAACTTTCCCACCCTGACATTGAAAGTAAACTTTGCTCAACTTACACCCTGATTAGAGTCTTATCTTCTTATATTATAGAATCGAACTCAGAACTCCCTGAACAGTTGATCTTAATATGATATTTGTCACCCTCCTCCGATTTTATGAGAGTCTTTTTAAGGTTAAATAAAAGTAAATGACTGGCAGCGAGGTAGATAACAAAATACAACTCATGAATTTTCAGACTGTTGTCGACTAACACCTCTGTAATAACAAGAGTAGGAGCGGGCACGGCTGTCTTATCTCCTAGTTTTTCAGTTCCGATTGCGAACCTCTTTTTTCAATTAAGCGAATTAACGAATTCATGATTTTGAAATGCAAATACTATAAACGGCATTTACCAATCAACAAATGACGACAGAAAATAACGTTACCTCCACAATACTATCTATAGACTGACCCACTGTGTATAATTGCGTGCATATATCTGTACAGATGATAATCATCACGTGAGATGCTGGCTTGTTTATGAATATTAATATACTCATACATACACTATTGTTAGGATTTAGCCAACTCAAAACTGATCTGTCAACAAAAGTGGCTTGACATATTCCTTCTACATGGATCCGGTCCACACTGCAGTACAAAGAAAGCGATTTTAGAGTGAATGGTATATTATCAACTTAAGTGGTTGTAAATTTTTAAATTCATGAAAAATCTACGAATATGCGAAAATTCCACAATTCGAAACTTGATTCCTGGAAATCCGCCTTGCAAAAGCTTTATGGTAAGTCGTACACTTCATTCAAGTCCAAATTGTGATTTAATATGACTTTTCGGTTCAACTGACTGAGTATATTCAGCTTAAATTGCAAGAGTGGTAATGACAAGTCAAATTTTGTCTTGAGTGTGCAGCATTACAAAACTTGCGCGGGTCTATTGGTTTGCTTGTCCTTGAACTGGATTAAGGTCAAGGTGAAGGGAGTTTCTTTTGACTAACTGAAAGTGTCTTGTAAATAATTTTCCATGGTATATTCCATTGCATTCACAAGTTCCAATCATTAGAAAAAATCTGAATACTGACAAAAATGGTGACATTTTTCACTTCATGTTGGGGCAAAGGGTCCAATATAGGGTTTTAATGCCAATTAAAACATTAATGACGATAAGTTATGTTAACTACACAATATTATTGACTTGTTAGCAGGTTGACTCAAATGTTTTGTTCTGTCACATTGATTCATTAGCATCGTCTTAGTGATCAGAGGTTGTGAGTGAAACCACCTCAGCAGTGATTTGCCACATAGCAGATTTCAACAGAGTTTATTAAAATTTACTTCACTTTAAAATTATTGTTACATTCGAAATTTGTGAACACTCAAATCGAGAACGGATTAAACTTCAAGAGTTCCATATAAGAATAATGGGAGTCGGAGTTACAGTTCTATTACATATAACAAATTATTTATTTTGATGGCTATTTAACATCAATTCGATGAGATTAATAATTGAGCATGAATTGAGCAAAAATGGGTAAGGAAAATGTTCGCCTCATGGGAGCATAACATTTATTGAATATTTCGCGGATGTGCGATGACTCATGTGTCTCTTCAAAGTTAACGCTCTGATTGGTTCAAATTAGGTAAGCATCACAATTTCATTGGTTAGCTATATTTGCCATCACTATCGCCCAGAGGGTTATACTTCATTTGATCATGCGTCGTGATACGGATAGGTCCTCTTGTTTTCCTCCTCCTACCACCGCTAATAATCCACCTAATATACAACCAAGATTGCTAGTTCCAATTAAAGATATGGAGAATATGGTACCATTTGGGAACATCGGAACTAATTCATCCGTAGTTTTAGATTCGGTTCCATGTGGAATGAGTCAACAAATTTCGAGTGCTCCAAGTGGAATTTGTACAACACAAACGCCCAATATGATAATTCAAAATTCCAGTTTGCCTGGCATCATCCCGAGGATGGATCAACAAACTTCTAATCTAATTACTAACGCCACTATTGCGAATTTTATCTCTAAATTAGCCTCAAACATTTCTACCTCTCTTATGGATCGAGCTGTCGTAAATGTTACGAAAAGTCGAGCCATGAATAATCCCATTTCCTCATTGGAGGAGATTGGCGAACTCGTGTCCGGTCTTTCAATATTGACTAATAATTTGAACGCGTCCATTGCAAATATAATTATGCCTAATAATCGGATTTCTCCAACTTCAAATATTCAAAACATCGTTCCACCAACTAATAGTAGTAGTTCGTTTGCTTCGGATACCTTGAAGTCCCTACTCACAAAACCAAGTGCTCAACAACTTAGTGGAAAAGAAAATCTACCTATTGTTATTGATGACGACAGTGGTAATGGTAGGAATGAAAATATTCAGACATTGAAACCAGTCCGGAACAGAACTCAGAGGAACCAACGGCGGAAGGGCGTCAGCAGGGAGGAGGTTAAGCAGTTTATCAACCGAAGTTGAATTTGTACGTTTAACCTTGTATATATCAACAAAGGGTTTAAAGAGGATGTTGATGGTGATCAGTTTCGGTTCTTTTTTCCTTGTTATCTGCAAAATATATATATGTGTATGTATTTGCACAGTCATCGAATAAGTCTATGTTAAATACTATACTGCCCTCTCCAGACTTCTGAAGCTACAATTTTGTCGGCATTACTTCCTTTAATCCAATTTTATCTCCCCTGTTATTCAACTTGAATAAAAGATATGACCATTGATTATAAGCTTCTTGTAAAAAATACCTGTTTTCTTATCAGCAAAGCCTTATTTGGCTGTGAATTTAATTCGACCATTGTAAATTCAATAAATCGAATTTAACGGTCGTGCTAATAGTTTAGCTTCAAGGTCAACAATTCGCCTTCCAATCTGAGTAGTAAAATGCTTGTTATCAATTGCCATTTATTTTTTTCTCTCAATTAATAATCGAGGTACGGAACTTATTGTTGAATGGAGGGCTTCGATTCTTAAATATACGCTTGGATATGTCTCCGAGATCTTTTTAAATAATCGATTAACATGTGTTATGTATATGCATAAACTTTTCGAGTATAATTAGATGTTTTGAACTGAAAACAAAGCTTTGAAAAGCACTTAAAAGGGGCATTGTTTTTGCTCCTCGAAATTTTCAATTGAAACGCTAAGCAAGTGTGCAATTACCTATCATGGAATCTAAGGGGGTCAAATCGATTATTTCCGTGCCTTTGATCGTATATGCTAATGTACTTGTAGTTTTATCTCATACTGAACTTTTGGTTCATAGACGTCTATACTCAGACCACCAGTAGTGAAGCCATTGATACCATTATTGGTCAATTTCTCAGCTAATCATTTAGCCCTTAAACAGTTTATTTTCTTAATTGTGAACCCTTGTTTTAAACTGTAAACCATCATCCTTCCTCTTCCCAGATCTGAAATAGCTGTTACCTATTAGAGGTAAACTGATCAGATTATATAAGGTTGGGTGACAGAAAATAAACAGTGAACGCCATATACTGGTGAACCAATAACGCAACAGTTAAATTGCTCGTCTGCAAATACGAAGGTCGCGATTTGAACTCCCTGATAATGCAATGACCAACAGCACTGATTGAGAGTTGGAGTAAGGGGGGGGGGCACGATCGCTGAATTGGGGCTTCTTTCCATGGATATTTCATAATGCCATCCCCATTCAAGGTTAGTACCAACTATGCCTTTGTGAGGAATGGAAATCGTTTTTAAAGGATCAGGTTTAAAAATAGCTTTAAATAAGTTGAGTCTACCGTGCTACTATGACGAACAAGGTTCTGAGTTCTATAGGTTAGCCGTGACTAAACCTTTTCCCATCTGGCATAATCCTCTAGTACAAAATTGTGCCCGAAATTACCAAAGCTAAATCAATGCTATTGATGATATATGTACCCTGTATGGAGTGAAGCGTGTCTATTATTGACCAAGGGCAACCATCACAACATTTGCAGCGAATATTGATGTAATTTATTGAATATTCTAAAAATTATTGGTCAGTATCGGAGATAATCTGAAGAAAATATGTATATATTAGGTTGGCAACTAAGTCATTGCCGATTTCAAATAAGAAGGCGAATTCGGAATTTTTGTTTAAAAATATAACTTTATTTAATTAGATATTGGCCGTTCTTGTCGATGACCTTTTTCCATCGTTCTGGCAGAGTAAAAATTCCCCGTTCGTAAAATGTCTGGTCTTTGCTATTAAAAAACTGAATTAGGTGTGATCCGACATCATCCGCGTTGTTAAAAATTTTACCATTTAAAGAGTTTTGCATGGAACGAAACAAATGGTAATCCGAAGGCGCAAGGTCAGGGTTATATGGTGGATGTGAC